GAATTGCAGCGTGCTGAGAAGTACTGGTTGTGGGGAAGAATGCTTGAATTGCTGTAGAAACCAGTGAGTCTGTGTGCCTACAGATGTCCTGTCTGGTTTCTACAGAAAGCTGAGACACCTAAGGCTTGCTGATTAACAATACGTGTGTAGATAACTACTTCTTTTTCTATAAATATAAAACTGCCTGTCTCTTAGACTGACCATCTCCTAGGGACTGAACATTTTAGTTTGGTGGGAAACAGAGAGCTGGTAGCAAAGGGACATAGCCTTGAGGTAGTGAAGATGCACAGAAGAGCAATCAGCTACATGTGTGCTCCTTGTCTACTCTGTGGCTGATGAGAAATTACAGGAGGGGGGAAACTGCTTTTTAATTAGCTGGATTATGTGGTTCTAGATAAGCATGTGTTCTAAAGAACTTTTAAAACTAGAACTGGGCGTGAGGGGAGTGGCGCAGAGTCTGCCTTGCTGCCTGAAGCTGGGACTGGGAAGAAAAGGGGTGACCATCTTGAGCATCTAGGAGAGATTCTGTAGCCTGAAGTAGCAGTCACCAAAGCTTACTCAGGCATTTAACCAAGTATATCACAGAATCACAGAATGTTGGGGATTGGAAGGGACCTCAAAAGATCATCTAGTCCAATCCCTGTAGCTGCCCAACCTGCTGACCAGAAGTATGGTTTGAAGGCTCCAGAGGGAGACAGTGGCGCTTTTGGAATAGTTTTGCCCTTGGCACCCCTCAAGAAATGCTTGTTACTGACCCCTGGCCACCCTGGAGATAGGCTAAGTGTTACTGCTTGTCCTGCTACCTTTCAACCGTGTCTTCCGTTGTGTCTTTCCTCTCCTTCAAGCACAGTGTCCATCTCAAATCTGAGGTGCTGCAGCATCTTCTGTAGAATGGTGTTCCATGTTAGATGTTGTTCCCTGCCTGCAGCAATGTTGGGAACGAGGTGGTAGGGGAGGTGCAAGTGTTGCAACTCCCCTCTTCAGTGGAACCCATGGAGCAGTGTAAAGTGAGTTTGTTGGCCTTTGAGTGCCTACAAAGGTTACAGCATGCTTATCTGTCACCTACCGCTGTCCTCTGCAGCTGTGGAGTGTTCAAGGATGCAGTATTCTGAAAATTGCTCACCAGGGTTAGAGAATAGGTTATGGCCAAGATGAAAGCAGGCTTTGAACAGGATAGTCTGGCTGGTACTGGGAGTCACTTCTGTGCCAGGACCATCACTGTGCTGGGAAAACTCTTCTCCTTGACCTACTGATCTGGAGGAACTGGGCATTTGGACTGGGAGAGACAAGTCAAAGTATTTGTGTTAAGCAGTGAGAGTAGAAGGAGGCTGCTGTGCTAATGTCAGTCGTTTTTACTTTTGTATTCTGAATTAAATAGTAGATAAAGGATATTTTGCTGGTTCAGTGTGTTACTGGGTGAGGCCTTTTAAGTACAGTGGGTATTTTGTCAGTGTTTGTTATGAATCTGCAACTTGTCTGGATGGAGGAATAGTGCCCGTTCATGTGCTTCAGCATTAGCACAAAGCGCTATGAGCCTCCTTTTCCCTCCCTTGCTCCTTTAGTCTAGCAGTTTGCTTATGTCCCCATTTTTCACTGATTTCTAAAACAACTTGCTATTGAATCATTATTTGTTTAAAAATAGAACTATCATGACACAAAACCTCCCCCCCGAGCTTTATAATATAGTACTCAATATTGAAAAAAAAATGAAAGTTGGACTTTACACTTTATTTTTTTTACTGTGAACAGGTTATTGGTGCCAGCTGTGATGGAGAGGGGACAAGGAGATTTACGTAGATGTGTCTATCCAGGTGTCTTCTGAAGTCAGAGTGACAAAATTTCCTTTTTGGATTGCTTTAGTGCTGAGAAGTAAATGACCTGGTTTTGGCCGGCTTAATAGGAAGATAAGTAAGGACAAGAGCTAAGAAACAAAACTCATAATATGCCATAGAGCTTCTTTCACTAGAACTGGATTAATTTTAGATATTTCTAATGCTGTATTAAAAATAGAGAGTGCTGGTACTCTCTCAGAGTAGGAAAGGAGGAGGCGGTGTTGAAGAGAACAGAAATGAGCAAGGAAAACAAAGTTACTATGTGAAAACAACAAAGGTGGGACAAAGAAGAGATAGTATGGAAACACTACAGGCCTGGGACTTGTGAAAAAGAATGCAACCCGAGAACCTGGTGTAATGGAAAACTTCCTATTAATGGATTAGAAGTCTTTAAAAAGCACTGTCCCACAGATAATATCTTCCCTGGGGATTTTTTTTAATTGCTAATGGTTCTGAAAAGAATACTTTATTGAAGAAGATTAGCGGTAACCCTTATTTGACTAGGTTGGTTGTTCGGTTTTTTCCCCTACTTCTTAGTAGTTGACATGCATTGTCTTTTCTCATTTTCAGCTTATATTCAAATTATATTTGCATGCTTTTCCCTGTATTGTGTCATGCATCTCTCCATGTTGACTCAAGTATAGAATAGCACACTTTGGAGTCATATTGCACCAGAATTAGCTTTATAATTAACTTTATAGCTCTACTGTAAGAATAAATTCTTAGGATAAAGTTGTTTTGTTAATTTTTTTTCAAATTATCTAAGCCCTAACATATTTCTAAAAATAAATGTAAAATTGCCAAACCTAGCTAGTGGATGGAATTTTCCACATTGGCTGTTACTGAGATTTTGCTTTCATGGGCGTCAGAAGTTGTCATCAAGATGAATATCATGTTCTCAAGACACAAATTTCATCTGCATGTTGGACATTTTCTTTGCTGCATTTTGGTGGAGAGAGACTAGAAACCAGCTGTTAGGAAAGCAAATAGCACTAGGGTGGGAGGTGCAGGAGAGGCTTCTCTGGGGGATGGGACTTCATCCTAAGTGATTAGTCCTCTCTTCTCTCTGGGAGTGTGTTACAGGGACATTGCAGTGGCTGATAAGCACATCCTTACAGCAGCTGTTCTTTTTATAGCATGTTGAAGAATATTTTTAATTAACTCCCTTATATATATGGCCAGAATAATTTCCTTGTTCTAAAATATTTGATCTGTTTTTAATAGTGGAAGAGGAATGCCCTTGAAAGTAGTTTTAGTTCTGAATTAAATTCATCAACTGGTATTAACAGTTTAGAACTAACCAGGTATAGTTAGTGTAGTGGTTGTCATTATATGCACTTCCCTCTGGATATTTGAAACAAATATTGTTTCAAATATCCAGGTTGCCCAAGGAAGTTGTGGATGCCCCCTCCCTGGAAGGGTTTAAGGCCAGGCTGAATGAGGCTTTGAGCAACCTAATCTAGTGGAAGGTGTCCCTGCTGATGGCAGGGGGGTTGGAACTAGATGATCTTTAAGGTCCCTTCCAATCCAAACCATTCTATGATTCTGTGATTCTAAATTTCTTTTTGTTTATATTTCTCGTCTCGGGTATAGAAAAACAAGTAAAATTAAAGTTTAATGTATAAAAGTGAAACACTCAGTTTTTACATAGTTACATTTAAGTACATTGAGCAACCAAATGTAATTTTAATGTTGCTCAGTTTCTTGATATTAGCAAAACATAATGTTTATCTGTCAATTCTAACTTTTATGTTAATTATAATAATTTTTGATAGAGTAAGATTTATTTATTTAAAATCTTGGAAGATAGACAATAAAGCTTTGGATGACCAGATCCAAGCTTTGGGACATAACAAAAATATTCAGGGAGTGAACCTGAAATCTTGGTTCAGGTTGTTAGTGTTCTGCAAATGGTTGACAATAATATTAGACAGCATTACAAAATTTTGAAAGAAATTCTAACTTTAAATAATACAATCCATTTGCTTTCTGTTTTGCTAGGTGTTGGTAAAGAGGAAAATAGTCTGTCAGTTTTAAACTTCATGAGCAGAACTTGAAGTTTTATGTTTAAAGCCAGCTTGAAGGTTTTGTTTTTCTGTAATTTTGTATGAGTAAGATATAGCAGTGAATATTCAAACTCATTTGAAATAAAATTTTCTTGCAATGCGTATTCTTCTCACCGTAGGGTTTCTTTAGTAAATTATGTGGTGACAGTTTCTGTGCAGCTCGGTGTTTTCTCTGAATTTATTTGCAGTAAACATTAGTTTATTAGCACTAGTATCTTATGTCTAGAATTGGTATGGAATTATTTTTTTATTGAAAATTATTAGTTGTGATTTTATTAAAAAACTATACCTTAAAATTTCCAGGGTTTATCAAAACACCTGTATGAAAATCCTATATTTGTATTACCCAGGTAGATGTAATGTAGGAAGTAAAACAATAAAATGATGAGAAGTAATGGGAAGCCAGAAAGTAACTTCAGAATTGGTTAACTCAGAATTGATTTTCTGCCTGATGTATCGTAATCTTTGTGAGTAAGGATGTTAAGGGTTGAAATTCTGTAATCCTTCCTTTTTAAATTCTGAAGTATTATTAGAGATAATGTTAATTTCAGTAATCTATTAATTTTTGAAGTGATTCTCTAATCTTAGAGATAAACCCTTCTGTTTAAAAAGCCTTTTTGGTCAGCAGTCTGCCTTAATTTTTTTTTTTTTTTTTTCCTGGCCATTCTTCACCTTGATCAAGTGAATATGTTTTGCTAAAATATTTATCACTCTACAGTGATATGTGGCAACTGACTGAACACAGTTTGTTCTGAAACTACACTGATTTTTTGCTTCCAGTCATAGAAATAATAGGCTGCTTGTTCCAGGGGAGCTGAAGTGATGAAACTGGCTTTGTGCAGTTTCATTTGATGAGCTGTGAATCACACATTGACGATGTATTTTTTTATTCTTTTCTCTTTTCTTGTGCCTGGCCTTGTTAACAGAATTTGATACTGAAGTTTTTCACGTGTTTGGTGGCTTTATGTAGATGCCACAGAGCTCATCAGATAAGCTTACAGTATTGCAGAGCCCTGGCGTGAAGTAACTGCTTCTGTGCTAGTGTGAGAGAGGAAATTTCTGAAAAAGGAGAGAGTACCCGGGGAGTGAAATCGTATCCAAGATGAGGCAGTATGTTCAAGTTCCAACTGTTGAGCAAGAAAAAACCTATGATTATAATTCTGCTTTTGAACCAAGACCATGTATGTGTTTGGGTAGGTGAAATTACCATTTTCTGATAATGTGGATTGTTTCTTCTTACTGCTATTGTGTAGAATAAATGTGTGTGAAAACAAGTACCCGTACAGTTGGTAAATATGTACAGTTGGTAAATATGTACAGTCCTACCATGTAAAATGCAGATTACAGGATTCCTTTAGCAGAAGAGAACATGCATGTTTAAACTTGGAAAATCCCACTATTGGAGAAGTGAACAATAACTATTTTTTAAACCTTTTTTAAACGTTGACTATCATGTAGCAGCGTGAATGTCTCTCTAGACACTGCTTTAACCTTTATATTTACTTGTATAAAATGACGTAAAGATGTCTTCAAGGGGGAGACCATTAAAATGCAAATTTTACCTGACACGGAAAGGGAATTGTCATAGGATTTTTCATCGAAAAACCTGCATAAAGTGGACCAGGTTCTTTTTATCTGGCTTAGTGACTGCATTCTGTAGACCTTGTGTGAAACAAATCTGTTTATTTGGTTCAACTTCTATCAGGGTTAAAATTGTATCGAAGAAGTAGAGAATCTGTTTTCAATTGTTCAGCTTCTACCCATCTTTTACAGTGTTCATCTTTTTTGATCTATGTAGTGAATATTCCTAGATTTTGTTTTATTTTTTTAAGTTCAATCTATTTTTACTGTATGTTGTTAAGACTTGATTTTTGTGTGGGTTTTTTATATTAATACATTTTTTTAAAACCTATTCCTGTGTTTTTATTAACCTTTCCTGGTTATATCAAAACAGTCAGCAATGATTAATAGTTTTCCCACAAAATCTGTCTCATGACTGATAATTGTTTTACCTTTTTCTTTTGGTTTTCTTTTTTCTGTGTTCTTTGAAGAGCCTGTCACTTTTGTTTTTTTTCTTCTGATATTGGTCTGCTTAAATTTCTCTACTCAGAATATCTTTGGAGGCTGAAAGCTTTGATAGACTAACACTTGCTTTCTGGCACTTGAATGTTCTGTTTAATTTAGGAAGTTGTTTTAATTACATTAACATTCACATTAATTTTAGTTCTGTATTTTGATGATAGAGAATTCTTTGAAAAACTTGGTTTTTGTTTTTCTTTCATGTAAACTATACTATAATTAAATACATAGCAATGTAAAGATACTGCTGGAGATCCAGGGTGGAGAGAAGAGAAAACTTTCAAATTTTATACAATATACTTATTTTAAGCCTTTTTTAATGTCAGAATTCACTGTGTGCCATAAAATTGAAGAGCAGTATTTGAACAATATTGAGTTTCCATTAACTAAAACCATCTGGTAAGGCTGCCAGAATGAGTTGGTACTGTTATCTGATATTTTTTATCCTTCTCAAAGGAATAAGGTTATCCAGGTTTTATGTTAAATTTATGCAATTAACACGGTTCTAAAACACCCCTTGAAGATTTACATTGTAGTTCTTTGCAAGGATTTTCTTCTGCTGTCACATAAAAAAGGAGAAACTAACTCTAAATTGTAGTTCTTTGCCCTCTGTCTTGCGTACACTATTTTACAGTATTTTCTGTTTTTGTTATGTTTTAGATAGCTGTAGCAAAATATTTTACTACAGTTATGTTAAGAATGTTTTGTTATATTTAGTAGTCATCAAACATCCTGTTTGCTCCTCATCAATTTTAGAGGTCCGGAAGGCAGAAAATCAAGTAGGAAGACAAAGTACAGAGAGTGTTGAGGCAGGTGCAGAACTGCATACCTCACTCAAGAAACATTGAAAAATATTAGGTCTTGTTTTGGTGGATTTTGATTCTTACTTGAATTTCCCAATACTGAGTGATCTGCTAGACACTAATGAAGTACGTCTTTCTTATTATGATTTTACTTATCTTTAAAATGTTACACAACATTGCTTGCAGTAGAATATTTTTTTGTACAACTCTCTGAATTATTTCTAGTTTAAGTCAAATAGGGTTTTAACCTCTTTTGATACCTACATTTTCCAGTGGCATATGAAATAGCTTTGATTTTAGCTGCTTCATACCTGCAGCTTTTATGTAAATGTAGATTTGTACATTGGTTAGACCTCTGTGAGTAGGAGATGTCAGCGGGAGTCTTATGAAGAACTTGACAGTAGTAACAAAGCACTACTTCACACAAAAATTATCAATATTCCAGTTATTTATTCCTTGAGTACTTTTTGTTTTCAGTTATGTATTGAAGTCATAAGTCTGTGTTCATCTTACTTGATATATGACTCTGTAACTATTGAACTGAGTTGAAAGACTTCTGAGGAAAACTCAGTGTGTGGTTTTAAAATCATGGATCTGTCTTTGATAATTGTTTTGAAAAGTTGTGTTTTGTAATGGTAATTCAGAATGAAGATAAACAAGAAATTAAATAGCCTTGGTTTTAATACTACTAAATTTTGAAATTTCTTGATTTTTCTGCATGTTTTTGAGTGTGGCTGGATGACAGGTGCATTTCTAGTACCCAAATGCTTGCGTATTTTCTCATGTATTACATGATAATAGTAGTTTTGCTTATTGGACTTCTCGGTTATTTTCAACTACCTTAATTTTGCTTTATTGTTGATAGTAACAAGCAGCTGAATTCACTGTATCTTTTTCTTCCTTACTTGTCAGCTAGTCACTTCAAATGGAAATATTGGAGTGCCTGAAACTTAATTCTGAATTCTGTTGGGTAAATCTCTCTGCAGGAGTGTGCTGTTGCTGTGCTGCTTTGCGACCTCGCTACAAGCGCCTGGTAGATAACATATTTCCTGAAGATCCAAAAGTGAGTGATGACTTTAAAATTTTAAGGGACTGGCATTTGAAAATTTTTGGTTAGTAATTGACACTTTAGCAATCTTTTATTTTTATTTTTTATTTTATATTTTAACATTTTACAGTAAATTCTGCTTTACCTCTTGATAGCTTCAATAGAGTTTAGCAGAATATTTTAGCTGGAAAGGGAAGTCTACAGATTAGATAATCTACTTCCCTTTTCAAAGCAAGGCTGTGTATGTTGAAGAGTGAAATTGGTATTTTTTTTCACAAAACAGAGATTTAATTAAGCAGGATATTGTGCAGCAGAGGTAGCACTTAACTGTGTAACTAGTTAGACCCACAAACACTTGTTTTGTTATGTTTTCAGTTGCGAGCATTTTGGTTTTTTACAAGACTTAATTTTCTAACTCTTGACTGTGTAAGTTTTTTTATAATTCTGGTAGACTGTTGTGGTCCATAGCAGTAGTTTGTGGTTGTTGTTTTTTAATTTCTGCAGTTATTCATATATAGTTTTGTCATTTCACTTAAAGAGCCTTGGAGCTGTATTACAGCCCAGCTCTTACACCCTGCGAAAATAAATAGCTTCGGTGTTACCATTTAGTAATGCCTGTATCTATACAGAATCACATGCTGGCTCAGACTAATCGAGAGCTTATTTTGTTGCTGCTGTATTTTTTTAAATGCATTACCAGATTTTGTTATCTTTTATTTTAGTAGAAGTAAGTAGAACAGTCAGCATTTGTATAATGTCTGGCATATATCTGATAAAGTATGTGGGCTTTTCTTTAAAATATGTTGTTCCTGAGTGCTAGTTACTGTGTAAATGTGTGCTACTGGCTTCAAAGAAAATGTTCTCTGTGTATATGGTATGTTGAAAGCATGAAACAATATGGTTTTATAAATGTATTTGTTTTAATCTACTTGTTTGATACAGGTGTAGAAATACTTGGAATTGCTACAGCTGTACTCTTAGAGCTTTAATTCCACTCAGTAGCTCTGAGATGGCACTCCTTAGTCTCTGCTTTTGTTAACATTCATTGGCTCAGTCCAGGACACAAGCCAGTCCAGGATGTTTTACTGAGTTACAGGCCTTTTCTATAATATGAGAAGACTTACTTGATAAAATGCCTTAATTAATAATGAGTGTGTTAAAAGCTTCAAAGGAATTTATTTGAAAAAGGTAATGTCTTTGTGAACTTCGGGGTGGGGGGGAAGAAGACAAAAAGCTTTATTGTTCTTACCTGATAGTTATAATTATAACCTCACCTGAGGAGATGGGTATTGCAGTTCACATTGAAACTAATATGTTAATCTTTGATCTTGTTATAAAAATTAACCTTCAGGCACTATGTATGTCAACCTTGTCCAAGGTGTGACACTGAAGAAATAAAATATTTAAACTACAATCTTGTTTATATATAGCACCAAAATTACTTTTTGGGGTGGAATGGGGAAGAAAAAAATTACATTGTACCAATGGGGAAAAAGCATGTCTTAGAACTGATGACATATCTCACTAAATACCTTCTTTACCTTCTTTTGGAATACCTACTTCCCCACTCCCCCAGCCTAAAAAAAAAAAAAAGATGGGGGAAGATAGTTGCTTAACTTCTTTTAAAAATATTTTAATTATTTTTTATGTTGCTGATTTTTGCAACTAGGCTATTGACAATTTTGCTCAGAAGTTTTAGTTTGGTTTGTTTTTTTCCGTGGCTTATTCCCATCTGTATGACTCAGATCTCTAAACGTTGAGCAGAAAAAAGGAAAAAACACTTCAAAAGCTTTATACTTTCTGTGAACTTTTTATTTGATATTTTGTATGTGTGTTTTTAGGATGGTCTTGTTAAAGCTGATATGGAGAAGCTGACTTTCTATGCGGTTTCTGCACCTGAAAAGCTGGATCGAATTGGTGCTTACCTAGCAGAGAGACTGAGCAGAGACGTTGTCAGACATCGCTATGGGTAAGGAAATAAGTTACAGCATTAAAAATAGATGCTAACGGGTAGCTGCATTTCATCATATTTGTTCTGATCACATTTAAGAGGTAAGGTAGACCCAGTCCCTTTGTAGTGAGTTAACTCTGGCTGGCTGCCAGATGCCCACTCACCTGCTTCCTCACTCCCCCTCCTTGGCAGGACAGGAAGAGAGAATAAGATGAAAAAGCTCCTGGGTTGAGATAAGAGCAGGGAGATCACTCACCAGTTATCATCATGGGCAAAGCAGACTCGACTTGGGGAACATTAATTTAATTTATTGCCATTTAATAGCAGAGTTGGACAGTAGAAAATAAAAATAAAGCTAAAACCACCTTTCTTCCATCCCTGCTTCTTAGTCTCAGTTTCACTGCTGAATCCTCTATCACCTCCTCCCTCCTGAGCAGCACAGGGGGATGGGGAATGGGAGTTCTACTCATTTCATAACACTTTATCTCTGTCCCTCCTTCCTCCTCACATTCTAACTCTGCTCCAGCACGGGGTCCCTCCCACAGAATAGTGGCTTTCACAAACTTCTCCAACATGGGTCCTTCTTATAGGTTGCAGCTCTTCAAGAACTGCTCCAGGGTGGGTCCTTTCCATGGGGTATAGTCCTTTAGGAATGAACAGCTCCAGCATGAATCCTCCATGGGCCACAGCTCCTGCCAGAAGACTTGCTTCAGCATGGGCTCCTCTCCATGGGGCTGCAGCTTCTGCTAGGAGCCTGCTCTAGTGTGGCCTTTTCATGAGCTGCAGCTTTGTTCAGGTCATATCCAACTGCTGTAGCGTGAAGTTCTCCACAGGCTTCAGTGTGGCTATCACAGAGGTGCTACCAGTGTTGCTGATGGGCTCGGCTTTGGCCAGTCATGGGTCCATATTGGAGCTGGCTGGAAGTGGCTCTGTCTGACATGGGGGCAGCTCCTGGTGTCTTTTCACAGAAGCCACCCCTGCAGCCCACCTGCTACCAAGACCTTGCCATGTAAACCCCATACACACTTGAATGTCATTCAGGGTATTGGGAAGTGAGGATATCTTTCTTTTCAGCCCTTTTGTCTAAATTGTATTTAAATGTCAACTTTAAAATGCTGTCATAGTCTTAAGTCCTATTTGAGCTAGAAATTTGCAAGAATGTAGAGTAAAAAGTGGGAGAAGATTTTAAAGGATGTGGAAATGGACTAAGAAAATCCTGAATCTAGGAAGTGGCAAAATCCATCATAGTCCATTGTTATTGTCCTTCATGATGTCAAAAGCTATGTTTGTAACATTATAGAATGGATTAATGGCCATTCTTTAGAGCAATTAATTTTGTTCCCTGCTTTTCTTTGCTATTTTTAGTTTACTTAGCATGTTATCTGACTGTGCAGGAGCATGAATAAGTTGTTGGCTTTCCATGCTGAGATTTGGATAGACAGAGTAGCTGTGTAGACTAGAAAGCTTTGATTTATAGCTGGAAATAATATGTACTAGAAAAGAAAATTGAACTATATTTACTCTGTTACAAGTATTTTGACATCTCTTCTAAAAATACTCTCTTCTCCTCCCCATGTTCCCCCCCCCCAAAAAAAAAAAAGAAAAAAAAAAGATTAATATAGGAAATACCAATAACTATTTTTTTTGTATTAATAAGTACCTAAATAGAATTAATGGTATTAATGACAAATGTAAAACATGTTTATGTGAGTCTCTCATTAATTTTCAGGTATGTTTTAATTGCCATGGAGGCACTGGACCAACTTCTGATGGCTTGCCATTCTCAAAGCATAAAACCATTTGTGGAAAGCTTCCTTCATATGGTGGCCAAGCTTCTGGAATCAGGTGAACCAAAGCTGCAAGTTCTTGGAACTAATTCTGTGAGTAATCTCAGATACTAAGTCAAATCAGAATAAATCTTTGCTTATTTGCTACAGGAAAGTAGTTTCAGAAGTCATAAAGTATCTGCCAGTTAACATGAGTTGAGATCTGTATGTGGCAGTGTACCATTTGGGCCTAAACACAGAGCAGATACCAACTGGAGGCAGAAAACCTGTTTCCTTTCAGTCTCTAAAATGATTTCGATGGCTGGGCTTATCCCCCGCAGAAATAGCTGTTTCTTCTGGAAGGAACAGGAAAGCTGTTCTGTGAATTCATATTTTGAATCTTTAGAGAGACCTCCTGAAGCCATTCTGTAGGTAAGACTGTTTTCTTGCTCTCCAGCAATGAGAGTGATGGTGTGAGAACGAGGAAATACCATCCTTCTCCACAGCATGGACACTACACAGAAACATTCCTATTAGCTGAAAAGTGGCCAGGAGGCAAATGCTTTCAGTATTGCAACCTCACCATCTTATTAACCTAAATATTTCAGGATTCAGATCCAGGCTTGAAGGGCATAACTAAAAGTGTCAAAATGAAGATTTGGAGATCTGTTTTTCCAAATAGAGTGATGGATGCAATCAGTGTTATCGTTCTGTCATGCTTTCCTTCCAGCCATTGTATTTCCAACTGGTACGATAGGAATCTCATAAATTCTGGGATTGTGATGTGGACTGTTTTCACTTAGAGTGATTACTTTCACATGAGTAATTTTCTTGTACATTGCCACTGTTAGCAGTGTAGGTGTTCTTTCTGGATTCTGTAAAACTGTTGGTCTTTCCTCTGGGCGTGATTCCCAGTTGATGGAATTAAATGGAGTTACGGTTTGGAGATGCAGGAGGGTGTAGTGCAGTGATGCTACTCTCAGATAGAATTTCTTATTACAGTAGAACACAGAGTTCTTGCTCTGACATAGGGGAGTGTCCCCTTGTGCCCTAAATTAACGAGACAGCTTTACTGAGGGTAATGAGATAAGTTTATTTATTTGTTTATTTATTTATTTTAATAGCTTTTAGCCAGACTACCCTGCTTCTTTTGATTTGTTTGTATAATAATGCCTGGGCAAAACCTCTTAGCGAAATAGCTTTAGAACTTATTTCCTAGGCTGACAAATAGCAAGATGTACATCACTTTCCAGTTGTTAAAAACCCTTGGTGGCAAACAGTTACTGCCGGTTTCCCCTTTGATGTATGACACACATCACTTCCAAACAAATGTTATTGAACGGAACTCCACCTTGCAGTAATCTGATATCCCTGTCAGTTCCTACTGAAGTCTTTTATGAGCAAAGCAGATTAATGGACTTCCTAAATTAGGAGATAATTTGTGTTTGTCTGTTGTAAAACTCGATAACCAAAAATAATTACGTTTTCCTAAATAAGATGTCAAATTCTGTGAGAGAGTGAATTTATATGGCTCCTCGGCAGTATTCCGAAGGCTCATTTTACCCTAATAATGGTAATTTCCCTAGGTGCCTTTTATGGTGAATGGAGAGAAAAGCTAGAGTCTTCTTGTGTTGATTCAAGAGGAGCAAAGTCACTGACAGTTTGTCTCTTGCCAAGCACACTGGCCTACTGTGTTCTTAAATAAATTTGTCAGACATGGAGAAAGTTTATCATCACATTTAGCCCTTTTTTGTTTTTCCTCTCTTCCTGAAGGAAATAAACAAACAAACAAACCCCAAAAAGAGTAGAGATGGTGGAGTGACTGAGTAATGTTTCATTTAGTTATTCTGATATACCACTTTGGAGTGGAAACTGGTATTGTCTGGGAGAGAAGAATAAATTGTATATGAAGTAAATGTCTTTGAATTGGTGAAAAGTCAGACAAGCTTTGGAAAATTTTCCGTAATATTTTTTAGGCTAAACTTAATTTCAGGCCAGTGCAAATTTATAGTCTGCTTACACTTAAAAAGATACGGAGAATGATTGTGGCTTGATTATTTTCCATCCCAAAGCTGTCTTTCAAAGCTTCACTGGGATAAAAAGACAGTGATGTTGTTCAAGTAAAACTGAACTGTCTTACTTGAGTTGTAGATTTTTTTCTCAGCCGCACAAACAGATTTTGCTTCAGCTGTAGGGACTCTTGTGATTGCTCAGAAGTCTGAGTTTCAAATGAAACAAATCTGTGTACTGAGTGATTCTGAGTAGTTTAAAGCCTTGGAAAGATCTGGGAAGCTCTCACTGTCTTCCAAGGTTTTTTTCCTGACTTCCAAATATCTGGTTTTGGATGCAGATGACTTCTTATATGTTGCATTTGTAAATTATGTTATCTTATTTCCTACAGCAGCAATGGGTTTTTTTTTTAAATAACATAAATGTAAATCTACTTATACAGGCAGATACTTGAAAATGTCTTTTTCTATCATGGAAGATATTTTTATTAACCATGTGCTAGGATAGCATATGCTTGTGACAGAGCTGAAAAAATATAGTGGGGAAAAAGTGAGATTTCTTTGGCTTAAGTACTGCAGAATCTGAAGGCTGATTTCAATAAGCTTTTACTTAGAAAAATGGTAATACTAAATTTCTCTCTCCAAGCATTTTGCAGAATTTCAGTAGCTGAAGATCATGTAAAATTTCTCTGTCTCTCATGTACAAATGAATAAATCTATTGCTTAGATCCATAGTGGTTATGTTACTAAGATAGAATGAATTAATTATGCTTGTTCTTCCTGTCTAGGGGTGAACAGCTTTACAATCTTTGAACTTGTGGTAAAAATTTTTTGGGACAAGACATTATTTTTTAAATAGTTTTAATTTTCTGTCAATGTATTTAGAGAGGATCCAGCAAACTTCTTTAGTGAGCAGCTAGTCAAAAACAACCGTGTGTGTAATATAGTAAAACTTTCCTCTGAAACCGTGTTGACAAAACATTTTAAGCTATTTTGGAATGTTAACAGGGTGAATTCTTCTTTCTGTTTTGATAGTAAAACATTGTTTTTTCATCTGAAAAACAGCAGATATATGCAGAACCCAGTATTACCACATTTTAAATTATTTACTACCAATGTTTTCTTTAGTTGATAGGGCGCTTCATTTTAGAAGGGCATTTTTTTCTTAGGAGCAGTGTAAGAATGGTACCATCAGTGACAGGGCTTCCTGTGCATGAGAAAGTGTCTGCTGTTGCAAGTTGTCATCATTTGTTTTTTAAAAGAAGATGAGCAGTATCCCAAGTGGAAAAATAACTGGTCAGTGCCTGATATAACAACAAGATTTTTATATTTGTTAGTGTTGGCTTATAAATTAGTTGCTTTTGGCAGAATTGAAGTGCACGTGTATGTAAAAATAGTATAAAAAGTCAAGAGTGTGAAATTAAAAGAAGGTCAGGATTAATATTCCCAGTAGAGTACTTGTTTGTTTGTCTTGCTTGTCTGCAGCATGCTAATCTGGAAGTAGGTGATGGAACTCGTCTTTATTACAAGATTCTTCTTTCATTCCATGTACCAATATAGAATTATTGCTAGTAGTGATTTAATGCACAAAGGAGTATTTCATCTGTAGGATCTGTCTTTTTTTTTTTTTTTTAATAAGAGTTAAATGTACAATGAGGCAGAATTACACAAAGCACTCTTTCTCTTATAGGTTAGTAAATTCTTTTCTAAATTCTATATCTACATCTACTAGAACTTGAGTGATGCTGGAAAAGTTGCTTTGGGCAGTCCTTCTAGGTTACTCACAGTTAAGTATTGCTTCCCTCACCTCTTACTCGTGCTCTCTGGTCTTGCAGTTTCATAACCACACTAAAGTATCCCTGTAAGCCACCGTTCCATTATGGACTTTGTTACACAACTGCACATGTGGAATTCGGGATAAATTTTCATCCAAGTGGCATGAAGTAAAATGAAATGTGAAGCTATCCATCCCATTTCAATGAAAGTCAAAATGAGAAGTGTCAGATTACCTTAACTATTAATGACTAAACTAAATTACTCATTTCACACAGAATCACACAGAATTGTAGTGATTGGAAGAGACCTTTAAGATCATTAAGTCCAACCATAAACCCAGCACTGCCAATTCCACCTCTAAACCATGTCCCTAGCCACCTTGTCTACCCATCTTTTAAATACCACCAGGGAAGGTGACTCCACCACCTCCCTGGGCAGCCAGTTCCAGTGACAACCCTTTTGGTGAAGAGGTTTTTCCTGATAGCCGATCTAAACCTCCCCTGGCACAACTTGAGGCCATTTCCTCTCGTTCTATCACTTGTTACCTGGGAGAAGAGACTGACATCCACCTCTCTACACCCTCCTTTCAGGTAGTTGTAGAGACCAATAAGGTCTCCTTTCAGCCTCCTCTTCTCCAGACTAAACAATCCCAGTTCCCTCTGGGAACTGTTATCTTGTTATCATTTATTTATTTATTTATTATTATCTTGTTATCATTTATTGTGATTTTTTTAGTACTGTGTTTGTGAAGTTAATGCATGAATCCAGTGTTTGAAACTTTGCTATTTAGAAAAGTTGAAGTGTTTGTCCTTTTTGCATTTGTTTGGTGAAGTGCATACGTACCCTCACTCACTTCTCATTAGCGCTGTACTGTGTAGTTTGAGTCTAATGTTTATAGGATATCATCTCTTCTAAGCAATAGTTTCCTAATAATGAAATACGGTAGCTTTGTCTATAAAAGATGGTAACTATTGGCATGAGCTCTCCTTCCCCCCATCTGAAACACGGAAAAATTGCCGGCTGTACAAGACAGACTGTGGAGCTCAAATATAAAAAAAATACATATATATGTATCCCTGTCAAAACCGTAGGCTGGATCTGAGCAGTACTTTAAATAACATAACTCAGACTTAAATACGATGTGTGCTGATTGTCTGTTCTTGAATTGCTGCAAAAACCTGACCTTTAAAGGTATCCGGAGTGCATTAAAAGTTACGATTTTTTCTCCTACTGTACTGCGTAAATATATATAAGAATTTATGTCCTTAGGAATCTGAGCTGAGAACTTGCATGATTTACTTACAGTGCTTGCACAGTCTCTCTCTCTATCTGGTAATATGATCCAACTTTCTTGATTCAGTCTGAAACAAACATCTTCTGAATAGATATGTTCCTTCTTTATTTTTTTATTAGATTTATATGTTTTTATAATGATTGAATTTTACTGATTCCAAAATTAATGGCAATAAGGTATTACCCATGTCAGTTTCTTTTTGTACTTTCTGTATTGTACAAATATAGAAGATGCTTGTACTGGTAAAACTTCCCCAAGTGATCAGTGGGTGATTGCAAGCATTTACTGTAACTGAATGACATGTTTACATCTATAAAAGCTTTGTAAGTATATCCCAGGCAAGTGCTTGGACTTTTGTCCTTTTTTAGGTTGAATAATTTTTATATTTGAAGTATGCTCGGAAGTATCTTAGGTGCTTGGAAGTAAAATATTTTTTATTTAACAACAATAACAGCTTAAAACCTGTTAAGCTCCACTGCTAAGCAAGGAGCAAATATAGACTAATGTGTACCGTAAAAACTTAAAATGTCTATAGTGAAATGGAATTATATAATTACTGAATAACAGTGCAACTCAAACCAGTGTTATCACACTTAGCTCTGTTGTGGCCTAAATGTTCAGTCATCTGAATGCAAATCCTGGAATATACTTCAGAAACACTTTGTGTTCAGTGGGTGAAATTGTTTTGTTATACACATGAGGAAATAAAAAGATTTTTCCCTTTCTGGACATGTTACTGTCCATGCCATTTTGAGAGGTATAACTCCTGGGTACTTGCTTCCCTTCTGCAAAGCTACATCATGATGTAAGAGAAATGTCCAGAGCGAGAGAGCAAGCCCCTGATACTTTCTTGGCCTAAATTTGTCACTTATTCTTACAGAGGAATTTCTTGGTACAATAAATCTTTCTAGCAAAACAGTTATTAGAGTTATAGTAAGTTGAAGATCCTATCAATTAAATAATTTTGTATTTGAAATAATATTAATATGCTAATATTAAATTGTAGATGAGTTTATATTCAAATGATCACTCCCAGAGTGTTTTGTGTTCTTCAGACTTTTAAATTCCATTCTTTTACATGGTTTTATGGCAGTTTGGTGGGTGAATCAGTTGTAGACTCGAACACTTGAGTGTCTGGAAAATACTAAGGTATTTTTTTCCCCCCCCCGGACTTTATGCTTTATTAAATTGCAAGCACGAATTAGGTTCCTGTCTTCAAAAAACTTTAGAAAATCTATTTCTGTTTTGTAATTAACAATTCCATGAAACAAACTAGTGAGACACAAGACATTGAAAGCATTTTCCAGGGTCTATTGGGAAGGAAATGATCATTTTTATAACTTACTGTATTGGAAAATAAAATATGGTTGCTGTTTGTGGATTGTCTTTCAAACTGTGGCAACAGACTATACAGAATTGGTTTTTGAGGGTATGTCACTTCCTTCTCACCTGACTGTACAGGTTATTCTCCAGAGAAGCATGTGTAAAATGAACTAGTGTTATACTATTTTGCTCCATTTTCAGTAATGGCTGCCAATACAGTTTTACAAACTATAATTCTCAGCTGTGCCTGTAGCTTTCAGTGGGTGAACTGGTAGTGCAGTTGAAAGGAGTAAGTGTTCTAGATAAAACAGAAAAAAAAAGACTAAAAAAAGAGTAGAAAAAGTGGTGGTTTTCTTCTGAAATACACAGCTTTCACTTTCAGCTTGAAAACTACCTCCAAACCTCCATAAATCAGTATGCTGTAGATTATACTAAAGTGCTTTGGGGTTGTCTAGATGTGTGTGAGTAATGTGCTGATAAAAGCAGGTTCTACATTTCAGTATGTGTACAAGAAATGCCTCAGCCCGTGCTTAGTGATTGGTAAGAAGAATACTGGGGTGGGAAAAAGCAGAGGGATCTTAATGGGACATCTCTCTGCTTCAGGGCAGAACCAGCACTATGTGAAACCTTTCCTGACAACCTTTCCTTTCCCTTTTTTCTTCTCTCTGTAGTCTGTTCCTAAAACTACCAGTGATGGAGAATCCAAAATATCTTTAGGCAGTCTGCTGGCTTTAGAAAGGAGGGGTTTTTTAGTGTCTTAGGGAGCTTTTGCTTCAGTGTAAGCCCATTACTGCTTTTCCTATTACCACTGGACAAAGAAAACCACTTATTTATTTTCTTTTTATAGCTGTCTTCTGTATATTGTAAGACTAATATTTTTAAGGCAGCTCTAGACTAGATAATTTAATGTCTTTCAGCCTTTTTTAGCAGGTGTTTATCTAAAGCTTTGTTCACCCCTTGAATAATTGAAGGACTGTATCAATTAATCACCATCTTCAGCTGCGATGCTTCAACTGCATGCAGTACTTCATCTGAGGGCTTATTAGTGCCACTTAGATGGCAAAAATTTCTTCATAGGTGTCACGGGTAATACAGACGGTATCACAAAATATTGTTTTCTTTTTCATACCAGTATAACAGCATTGACTTTTGTTAAATGTGTAGTTTATTATAAACCTGTTTCTTTTCTGCATTCAACTGTGCCTGGCTTGTATTTGTACAGCTGTCTTAAAATGGTATTTTGCATTTGTAATTCCTATTTTGCATTTTTTTTTCCTTGGATTTTCTGGTCCTATTTCTAGTTTGTCAAGAACTAGACATCAAGTGTGCCTACAGTGCTCTGGCCAGCTTAGTGTTCTTGGCAGATTTGATGAGCTCACTCTGTCATTTAAGTCTCTAAGTAAAACTCAAATACTACTGTATTCCAGACAAGTCCCTTCAGAAGTTCACTCAATACATTGTTGTAGTTTGGTGATTTACAAGTGTTTCTGTATTTTTTCCAAACCCCTTTGCATCTGTCTTGTGAGGAGTATTCTTTTGACAGTGTTTTTGTAGCTTCCCTGTGAGAATTTGTTGTATTTTTTTTGTCAACAGCATCAGTGAAGTTAAGATATGACAGATGCTGCTTCATCTGGATTCACAAAATATATTTCCTTGTCATAGGAACAATTTAGGCTGGGTTGATGTGATTTGTTCTTGGCAAATCCATGCTGACAGCTGACTTACCCCTTCCTTACTTTGTAGATGTTTGCAAATTGGAATTTTTTTTTTTCAGAGCGTCTTTCTGTGAATGGAATTAAAGTTGACTGGGTTATAATTCCCTGACTCCTCCTTTTTCCATTTTGTAAAGATAGACAGAATTGACAGGATGCCTCCAAATTTATTTCCCTTGAATTTAAGTAAATCACAATGTTGCTAGTTAACCTGCCAGTGACAGTGTACCATTGGATTGCTTGGACAACTCCCTGAAAGGAGGTTGGATCGAGGTGGGTGTCGGTCTCTTTTCCTAAGTAAGAAGTGATAAGAGAAGAGGAAATGGTCTCTAGTTGTGCCAGGGGAGATTTAGATTGGATATTAGGAAAAAAATCACTGAAAGGGTTATCAAGCTTTGGAACAGGATGTCCAGGGAAGTAGCTGAGCCACCATCCCTGGTGGTATTTAAAAGGCGCGTAGACGTGGTGCTTAGGGACATGGCTTAGTGGTGGACTTGACAGCATTAGGTTTATGGTTGGATTCAATTATCTTAAAGGTCTTCTCCAACCTAAATGATTCTATGATTCTGTGAATTGATGACACTCCCTATTCAAGTGTTAGATGTTTCCATGTTGCATAGTATGTTGTATTTCATGCAGTTGCACCCTTTTGTAGTGATCTAAATGAAGTTCTAGTGGAAAGGCTTTAAAAAGAAAACTCTCAAACTGAACTTTTTCTTCTCTGAAGTTAAATATTTATGTATTGTCAAATCTGGATGCTTTCCTAATACAGTGTTTTATGTTACTTCTTAAATGAAGCTGAGTATTATTTATTCTTCTTTGAGAAATTTGTATCAAAAGCTTTTTTACCTTATTTCATTTTCCAGTTTGTCAAATTTGCCAACATTGAGGAAGACACACCTTCATATCACAGGCGCTATGACTTCTTTGTCTCTCGATTCAGTGCCATGTGTCATTCATGTGACCACGACCCAGAAATACAAAAAGAGTAAGTGCCATTCTGTATGTATTAATGTATTAGTATTTTAACACATTAATTTAATCTGTAATACAGTTTTTATTATGATCTTTAGTGGAATAGTTCCTTCCATAGGAAGAAAATGAAAGTCTGACTTTTAAAATAGCACCAAATATTGCAAATCTTAGGTGGCTAGAACTCCTAGACTACTTAAGTAGAATTTTACCTGAATAGTGCCTGACAGACTGCATTGATTCTCGTCAGAAAGGCACTACATATTACTGTAAATGCGTGCAAGTTGGATAACTCATTTGAGAAATTAATGGGGCTATTTATATGAATAGCAAAAGCATATTTTGAGTCTGCTATTTGAGAATTACTCGTTAAAATTGAATTTCTTAGATGTCTGCAGTATGATGCTGTGTGTGAAAATGAAATGCCTTCATGAATTAGTATTACAAATTTTGACATTATTATGTAAGCACCACTATTTTTTTTACTTCAGCTCCCCCTAGTGATATGTTCTTTACATGAATTGTCAATCGGTGTTTAACTCCTGAGCATTTTAGAATAATTAAGTCTTTTCAGATTATATTATTTCATCTCTTTTGTACTCATCTTTCTTATTTCCATGCATTAAATTGTTTAGCTAACTATGAAAAATCTGTGTTTAACCCTTTGGATGTCCTGTTACTGTGTTAGCTGCAATGCATAAGGATTATTCTTAAAAGTTTGCCATTTCAAAAATCTGTGAACTGTAATTTCAAAAAGAATGAATACTGTGTACATCTCTTGGGAGAAAAACAAAAGAAAAAAATCATTCCTCCTTTAGTCTTCAGGTTCATTCCTCCTTATTTTTTGTAATTTGTTGCCATCTTATTTGTGGCCCTATTGTTGTCGGTAGAGTTCTGCTGTAAGCTTTGTCTCTAAAAGGATTAGGATTAAGTCTGCCTGCTTCTCCTGTACGACTGAATTTTTTGGGGAAGAACTGAATTGTACTCAGGGACCAAAGCACAGAGGGGATGGAAACTTCTTAAGCAGCTGTCACTAGTGAAGCCAGAGGTACCATGCAACTACCTCATAACATAGGCTTCTGTCAGGTACAGTATATTTACCTGCAGCTGATGGTTGCAAATAGTATTTGTAAATGTTTTAATGAGCTTTTTGAGATTTTGCCTTTTTAGGCTCAGTGAAACTAAGACAGAAATGTTAAACGCCTTACTTACTGTAAAACATTTCATAAGAGGTTAGGATATGATCTCATCTCAGGACAAAACAAGGGGAAATGGGTTTAAACTGAAGGAGGGGAGGTTTAGATTAGATATCAGGAAGAAGTTCTTCACTGTGAAGGTGGTCAGACACTGGCCCAGGTTGCCCAGAGAAGCTGTGGATGCGCCCTCCCTGGAAGTGTTTAAGGCCAGGCTGGAAGAGGCTTTGAGCAACCTGGTCTAGTGGAAGGTGTCCCTGCTGATGGCAGGGGGGTTGGAACTAGATGGTCTTTAAGGTCCCTTCCAATCCAAACCATTCTATGATTCTATGATTTTTAATACTACTTTTACCTTCATTGCCCCTTGCAAGTGAGAGCTAATATTAGTAATGAACTAGAATATGGATTGAATTAAGAGACTAGTACATCCCTGATTCATCTATCAAGTACGACCTACCACTCATAAGGATACCCCAAAGTAAAATACCTCAAAGCTGTAGGAATAAGAGAACTGTGTTAATCTTTTACTCTTCAGATTGTCAACCTGCACTGTTATCTGTGCTTCAATTTGTGGTGTTGATGTTCCCTTAGACTGGGAGGAATTTCATCCTAGTGACATAAAACTGTGCATGACCTTGATTTAAATGTATTCTCCGTTTTAATATCTATCTGAGCCTTCCTTAAAGGAATGCATGGGGTGAAATTTCATGCTGTGCCTTCCTCAGTACTTCAGCCTCCATTTTTCAATGTCCTGTACAATAGTAAGAACATGAAATTAGTGCTAGTGGCACTCCAATACACAAAAGTGTAGCCTTTTTTCCCCCGTAAGAATCACTTTTTTACTCAGGTTAACCAAATGTATAGCAATATGACTTTTTCCATATCATCCTAGACTGTTTGAGTGTATCTCTTTGAAAGAGATCTGTATGAACAGCAGTTATTCTTGGAGTTGGCATACCAGATTTGCTGTAGGTGCTGAGGTAATTTAACAAAAAGATGAGCTGTGGCTACAGATTACAATTCTAAATGCAGATGTCACAAGTAGTTGATACCATTGATGGGGGCTAGGGAGTAATTCAGCTCACCCTAAAGAGAGTCGCTGTTCACCTGCATCGCTTGTGGTTTCGCTGAACTGCCTGGCTTGAATGGGAGCTTGAACGTCATCTACACACAAAATCAAGGGATGTAGGCTTCTGAGGCTGAAACTGAATCTCACCTGGGGAGATATCCCTTTCAGCAGGGGAGGTTAGTGCTAGTATTTAATGTATCTAAAGCCACAATATCAGTAAAACTTGATTACCTGAAGAACTAATAATTTTTTTAAAAAAAGCTTCACTTACGGGATTTTAGAAGCTCTGTATCTTAAATTACTATCTTAGATCCTTAATACTGAAAACTGAATATTGGATACTGCCCTGTCGTACAGCAACAGCAAGTACTTTTGTAGCTGTTTGTGCATCCCTCTTTTTCCCTGTTCTGTACGTAGCCTTATTAAAACTGTCATGAAATGTCTAGAATGGTATCAGATCCATATTAAATGCACATGGCTTTGTTCAGAAATAACTGAAAATCAGGGGGCTACAGATTTAAGTATTTACAAACTGAAATTGAAACAAAAACATTAATTATAGAGTTCAGTTAGCTCTGTATTCATCTAGCAAATGTTTTAATGCAGTGAATTTGACTGAACAAAAGCTAGTTATATGTTGTCCATACTGAAATTAAGGTTTAAAAAAAGGAGGGATGGATTTTAATAGAAATTTCAAATTTTAGCAAAGCTTATGCTTATTTCACTTGATGGCAGTATCACCCTTACTTATACTTGTTTTCAGTGAGTGAAATTCTATTCATACTATTTATTATAATGACTAACTTGCTATTACCACTTCAAAAGTATTTTGCCATTCATTCCATTGTACAGATTCTTCTGCAAACTATTTTCCTCCAACAAAATAATGAAAATGGCTAACAGCTAGACTAAGTCTTTTTTAGAACTTATATTGATTTTTCCTTTTTATTATTTTATTGTTGTTGTTGATCAGTTCTGAGTTCATTTGGTTCAAATGGTTTTAGGATAAAAGTGATGGCTTGTTTTGTGCCTGAGGCTTAAGTTGATAGAATTATCCTTTGCTTTCCATCTTTTGAATCTCACACAAATCTTTAAACATATGTTATGATTAATCCTTAAAAATTGTAATTAAGGCTGTGGATGTGATCACGTGACTGTGGTAGATACTGCTTCAGCTTTGCTGTAATAACTCCACAACATTTTTCTTCAGCACTGGAATAGGTGGAGATTGCACACAGTTTCAAGTGATGGGTAGTACATTGCATAGAGTTGGTGGGTTTTCAGCCATCTTTTGGGGGTGTTATACACAGCTGCAGTATTCATTGATCAGTGTCAGCATTATCCTTACAGATCATCTTTTGTTCAGTTGTTTGTTTTGTAAGCTTCCCTATGAGCTGCCAAGGCGTTTGAAGGCAATATGGGCAACCTTAATGAATTGGCCAAATTTCCAAATTACTGCTTGGGAGAAGCTAACGGAATTCCACACTCTGTAGTTACTGTTGCCTGATAGGTGAACAACCGTACTGGGAAGTGCTGTGTTTCTCCTTTTCAATAATTCCTTTTTTCCTTTCTTAGGATCCGAATTGCTGGAATCAGGGGCATTCAGGGGGTGGTTCGAAAAACAGTTAATGATGAACTTCGAGCAACTATATGGGAACCTCAGCACATGGACAAGATAGTACCATCATTGCTGTTTAATATGCAGAAAATAGACGATATTGACAGGTATTTTTATTCCTAGTCACTGGCATGGTTTTTAAGCAATCTTTAGGCTTAGTTTTTATGAGATTTTTTTTCTTTTTTATTGGAAGTTACTACTAAGTTTCCTCAAAACTGAGCACAGCTCTGCTTAACTTCTCTTAATGTTTCTTGTCTTAAAGTCTTTTCAGCTACCTGCATTTCACTTCTTCTGGAGTTTGTCAGTCTAAAAATTGCTCCATAAATTGAATAGCCATATTCAGAAGTCTTAAAAATTGTAAACTGTTTGTTTTGTTATGTCAGATATAGAGATTAGTAAGCACAGGTTTGTAGGTGACTCAAATGATTTTGCTAATTATAGCTGTGAAAAATTGAGGTTTTAATTCCCATTTAGCCATTAGTAACTGTTTGTACTGTCTGCAACAGTAAAGTGGGGATAAAAATGTCTTTATATGTAGACTCCCTTCTCTTTTTTTACTTTCAGTGGCTCCTAGGTCTATTACCTGACAAAAAAGTTAGGTACGATAATTGGTGTTGAGGATATGCCAGTCACCTGACAATAAAAAAGTCACTTTTTTTTTTTGTCCTTGTCTGTATTTGTGGCTAAACACCATGTAGGTGTAAAAAGTGTTAATTGCTAGCAGTGGGAAATTTCCATAAAACCAACTTCAGCTGTACAAACAACCTAATATGTTTGTTTCATGTCCAACCCTAGCTGCTTCAAAACTTGCTTGGTAAGGAGGCTCACCAGCTTCCTATAACAACATGCTTTTCATGCTTTCATGTGACACTCAGCTTGCTGAATCTGTCAGGGGTTTTTTTGTTGTTGTTTGTTGGGGTTTGTTTGTTTATTTTCCCTTTCTTCAACTTTATTTTTCTTTTCTTATTTCTAACTGTTGGTACCTGTCACTTCTCTAAAACAAACTTTCAGACTAAATGACTAAAATCAAGTTGTCTCTCTGTCTGTGCTTTATCTATTTATGGCATATAACTGAAGGCCCACACTTTATGTACAGAAATAGCCACTTGGATTTTAAATCTGAAGAGTGATCTAAACAAAAGACAAAGGTTTCTGAAACTACTGTTTGAACAAGGAGAGCTTAATTAGCCTTTGCACACTCTTACAGGGCTTCTAGATGCAGGTGAGAACTGTTGCCTTCATTACTCTTTACAGTGCCCTCAGGCATATACTTTCCTTTATATAGTAAACTACTAATGGAAAACCTGACTTAAATAGGATTTGGATCAACCACTTAAAGCAGATCAGTTTGTAAGTACTGCAGGACTAATTTTTATCTTTTGTTGAGCAATGCAATAGTGGTGGTAGAAAAAAAATCTATCAAAAAGCAACTGTTAATTAAATATATGAACTGTCTGCTTGAATCTTTTTCTATAATGCACATTCAGCAGAAAAAAAGACTAATGATTTTCCCAGTGGCAAGTAGGACCTTGTATGATGCACGTATGACAGAAAAGCTGAAAACAATATTTATAAATTGTTGATCTGCTGGCCTTAAATGATGTTACAGAGAATTTCCTATTTGTTTTCTATGACTTCATATTTGTGGAGCACAAACAGAAGCATCTTGAAGAGTAGGAGTAAGAAGCACATTGTTCTGGCAGATGAAATCAAAACATTATTTGAGAAAGAGCAGAAATTCTGGAAAATAGCCCCAACTTAAGTCCACAAAAATAAGTCTTTTTGGTTAAAGCTGAAGTTTACATAGGTAAAGCTTTCCTGAAGAGCACTGTGATTTTACTTGTGAAACGTTAATAGGTTAATTAAATATTAAATTAATAGCTTAATTTAAAAAATATAGTTGTTTTTGTGGATGTCATTATTTGCCTGTGTAGCTGAATGCACATTCTAGTTATATGACTATCAAACAAATCTGAAAGTGTAACTTTTTTTTTTCAAGTGTAACTTTTTTTTTCTTAGAGAATCTTCGTGAAGTACAACTATTACAAAATAATTGCCATGCATACTTCAGTATAGCATAAGGCATTTTCTGAAAGACTCTCCCTCCCTCCTTCAGGTTTTCTAGAAGAAAATTCGGAAGAGTCGATCATGTATGTCAATCTGTCTTTAAAATGGGGAAGGGATGTACAAAATTGGAAATTCACTTAGTTTGTAACATACTCTTCATGGTAACTGCAAAGCTGAAAGTGTCAGCCTTATTTAAGGCAGAAGGATACTCTAGTTCTTGGCGTAAACTTGACTTCAGGTCCTTCTAATGTGTCTGTAATGTTTGTATATGTTTTAGAGGTAGGTTAGAATACATTTCTTTCTCAAAGTGCATGAATCATAGTGAGACATTCCTGTAGCTACTGCTCTCAAAAGTAGTGATTAAGTCTTACTTCACACCCCATCTTATTTTTTGGCCAATCCTGGTTTTGTGATATTAAACAAGTCTTATGCATGAAATGTTGAGTTGCTCTGAGCCAGTTTAAGCCTGTGATTAGATGTTTGCTATGGAAACTGCTGTACTTCAGAACTTCCCTCCTTCCAATTCCTTGTTGCCACCTTTTCTGGTGGAGTTTACCCACAAGAAAGCTGTGGAACAGTTAAAGGGAGTAGTTATTGCCCATTGATTGCAAAATGCATTTCATATTTCTCTTCTCTGGACTTGTGGTAGTGGAGAAAGTCTGGATGCAGAGGAATAGTAATATTTTTTTTTTTTGAATGTTGCAGTTGGATTTGTCAGAGGTTTTCTGATCTTTGTGTAAAAACCAAGTAAGTGAAACAAAATGAGTATGAGATACTCATTTGAATTTGGAAACTTGGGAGGCTGTACAAAGCTTTCCTTTAGAGCTGAAAAGTTAGAAGGGCAGTTTTATATTCATTGTCTTTCATCTGATAAAGCTAAGGAACACTTAGTGAGAAATACTTAGAGATAGGTGTTAAAGTTCAAAATAAAAATGTAATTCCTGCAGACAACAGAAGATAGTTTTCAATGTTCTGATGCAGTCTAACGTTTTAGACTACAACTGGATTGCAATTTATTCCTTTAACTTATTCTAAAATAAGTCCTCAAGCAACAGTGAGAAGTCATCTTCTGTGGAATCTTAAAAGAGAACTTATTTCTACTACATTTTAACTAGAATTCTTCCAGATAGACTACCTCTGTGTGTGCGTGTTCTGCAGCTTGCTTTCTTTTCCCCCTCCACTCACCCACTTTTGTAATGCTGCTGCATTCCAGGGAATCTGTGAAAACAGCAATGGGAACGACAGTCCTGCACTGTGATTTGTACCGTCTCTGCGCTGAGAAGGATGCCCATCTGTCTCGAATTTTTTTTCCTGAACAGGAAAAAAAACAGAGACTGACGGGCACAGTAGTTGGATAAGGCTGAGTTAGTTACTCCTGATGGTTTATATACAAATTGTCATGCCTTTCAAAATTCTAATCATTGTGTATTTGTAAAACTATTTCTCCTTACTTATCTAACAGAGTGCCTGGGGCTTTTTTATTATTAAAATCTGACAAGCTAGCAATGTTATGGTAACTTCTGAAACACTGATGTTACCAGAGGCAACAGGTTTTTATATTGCAACTTTTAGATTGCAGTAGTCTTGAAACACTAGATCTTTTGCTATCAGAAGGTATTACAGCTATGATGTTAACATGTTCATTTGACTTGTGGCATTTCAGTGTTTGAGTTTTTATAATGCTCTAAAGCTATGGTTTTATGTTGCTGAAGAGTGAACATTAACTAAAGCCGATGCTTTTAGTCAACGCTTTTAAACATATTTAATATGCACACTTGCACTGCAGAACTGGAAGTATTACTAAGGTTTTCATGTACTGATCTCTGCAGTCTAAAATAAATCTCCTAATCCATAGCTGCATAATGTTAATGTAGGTGAGTGAATCCTCATTTAAGTTTCTATAATGTGTTTTATGCAAAAAAATACTTGTCACCTGTAGGTACAGTACTTCTCAATAAGTAATAGAGCACCTCAGGTGGAATTGTTTTTCTTCCTCAGTCTCCCACCTCTCAGCTGTTCAATTTAAATGAAATATTAGTAACATCTTAATGGTATGATGTGTGAAGCACTTAATTTAAGAAATACATTTCAAATGCCTTTAATTTGCTCTAGAAATTCAGGTTTCTGTGTGCTGAAGTGGTGGTGGCTTTGGGCAAAGGAAGGAAAAAAAACCCCAAACATTAAAAAACCCAAAACAAAGCAAAAACAAACAAAAAACCCCACCCCACAACATATTGCCAAGGCCTGCATCAAAAATGAGAACTTGGAAACTGGAAACTCTTCTAGAAAGGCTCTACCTTTCACTGTTTACAGTGCAGGTGCTGGTTTTAGTTATTCCAAGGTGAGGACAGGCTGTTGCCTTCAAAGCTCAGTGGTAGAATTCAGGCTCCAGTAGGTTTTAGTTTGTCCAAACCAGTGTGTGGTTTCTGTAGTTTTGCTTCTCTTGTGTCTTCATTCTGTCTTTAATTCAGTGCTCTTACTCTCCTTTTGTACCATGTTAGTTTTAAATAGCCTAATTACCAGTCACCAAGAGAAAAGCAAAAATTCAAAATGTCAGTATTTGAATTTTACAGAAGTTTGGTCATTAGTATAAAACATAAAAGTTTTGCTTTGCACTGCAAGATTTATTTAGTTCTAAGTTAAAATTTCCATGTGAGATAAAGTTGGAATTTAAATATTGATTCTTAATTTTAAATAATTTTTATTTTTTATTAAGTCATTCATTGGCATATTTTAGCACCTGAAGAAATAGTAGTTGTGGTAGTAATAAATCGTCCTCCCACCCTTTGCTTTTTTCCTCTCTCTCCTATCATGTCATCACTTTTTATTGTTCTTTACTATAAGTTGTACATTTCTATGATTGAAATAACTGTAATCTTCTGGTTAAAGGACAAATTTCCTAGCAAAATTTGTGCAATTTGACACGCTTCATGGTGTATTTATCTGATGCAGAGTTTGTCAGTCTGTATTTTTTTAATTGTTACTAGTTTTTGTCTGAAGAAATCAATTGCTATGTTTCTTTTTCAGAGTAATGGTTTTAGTAAAAGAATCCCCCTTCAACAAGGGCCACCTTTATAAATATAGTATGGGGAAATTAATGTCAATATCTATATCTTAAAAATATGTTTACAAATGTGAAAGGTGTTTGGTTTTTTGTTTGGGTTTTTTTTTTTCACTCCAAGTTATTAGTAACATACTATGTGATAAATATGAGAGTCCAGTTGCCCAATGGTGTCATAGAGGTGAAGAATACTATATGGTAAAAAAACCAACTTGACAAACTGTTGTATTTTAATAAGGTTAAAAACTAGAGGTTTGTGTGTACTGATGCAGACATTGTAGTAGATATTATACTTATCTTTTCATTCCTTGTGGTGAGTTAGACAAACTGCCACCCAGCCGTTCTTTCACTACCCTCCCCTGCAACAGGACAGGGGAGACAATAGGATGAAGCAGCTTATGGATCAAGGTGAATACAGGGACATCACTCTTTCGTTACTGTCACAGATAAAACAACCTTGACTTGAGGAAATTTAATGTAGTTTGTTGCCAGTCAAAATAGATTTGGGTAGTGAGAAACAGACAAATACTAAAACACCTTCCCCCTGCCACGACTTTTCCCCAGGTCCAGCTTTACTCCCAACTCCTCTTCCCCCGAGGGGCGCAGGGGGTGCAGTCAGTCCATCATTGGGCAGAGACACTCTGTACAGTCCTCTCCATAGTAATGCTGGGCACAGTCAGTTAGAAGGTGACTAACTTGTACACTCTCTAGTTAGAGGTAACTAGGTGGGCGATAATGTTGTAATTAGTTCAGTCAGACTTTTTTCCAACTCACAAGCCATCTGTTTCCGCAGGAGTTATTGGAGTTTTATTTAATGCTCACCCACGCCGCGTGGATTCAGTAGTGGGCAAGTGAATGTGATCATTAGTCTGAACAAAATGACTAAGATTCTGACTAACGTTTTGCATGATTTCATGGCCTTCATTCATTGTTAGTAATGGGTAATACTTTAACATGCAGTGGTTAACAAGTCAAATCAGTATGAACAGCCATTGTTTTTGCCACATACAGATTTACTAATACCATGGTCAGTATTGAGTGAACAGATGAAGATCTACAGTCCTGCTGCAAGAGAATAAAATATTCAGAATTCTGGTTTGATGCATATTCGAGTCACGCTCTTGATCTAGGCAAGAATGGTGACTCATGAACATTGTAGAACCAAAGGTGTGTACAGTAAGGAAGATGAATATTAACTGTAGTAAAATCAATGTATTTTTGTCTTATTTCAGCAGAATAGGCCCTCCCTCCTCTCCTACAGGAGGAGAGAAAGAGGAAAATCCTGCTTTGCTGGCCGAGAATTGTTTCAGGGAACTACTAGGACGAGCAACCTACGGAAATATGAATAATGCTGTCAGACCAGTTTTTGCGTAAGTTAAAAATTCATGGAAGGTCTTATCTTAAGATTTTTTTAAATTATTATTTCATCCTTTAATTATGCTGCATTAAATTCCTTCCTTCTTTTCAATGTCTTCCAAGACGTGTTTTGATGTTCTGTGAAGAATATCTTTAACAGCTCATTTAGTAGTGAATAGCAGATGTGCACACAGTATGCACATTATGCACAAATGCACACAGTACAAATTATAGGTGATGTATTAAATATCAATATGTTTTCCAGTTCTCTGCATTGCCCCAGTTGCTTCCCTAAAAAATATTATATGAAGAAAACTACAAGGATTGAGGTAACTTCAATCAATTTCTTTCACCTCTGCTAGAGTCTACAAAGTAGGCATGTTCTCAGGAGAAAGTTCTTCAGGAAGTACTAGACTCGGTGATACTACTGTCAGACTCTGGCGTTTCCTGGTGATGAGGAGAGCTGCTTGCTCCTTGTTGTAGGTTTTCAAGATACCCATCTGTTACGGGAACATCTTTTCTTAGATGGCCTATTTCTTCCTACAAAGACTTAAGTATTTCATTCATACACTGAAAGACTTTCAAACTACTGAAAGTCATTTTCAAGTTACTACTGTTAAGTAAGAACAGAAATGCAAAAAGAAGATAGGATAGGTATTGAGAAAAACTTTTGTAGCCCCTTGTTTTCCACTCCAAAGCATTATATGCAAAGAACTGTGCTATTATCTTACTTTCCATGTGTACCTATTACACCAACTTGGTAGGAGTTTAACTATTGTAAAGTTGAGTGTTTTATTAAAAAAAATTCATCCTTTTCCTACATTTAAAATCTGCATTCCTCCAAAATACCTGTCACTAGAGTGAAAGTTTAGGTATTAAACAGTCTAGATGGATTATTTGGAACTATATTGCAGCTGCTTTCTTGCCACTTTTAAGTTCCTTTTAGGGTCTTATCTCAAAACTTTATCGGCATATGCAGTTACTTCAGTCCTTTGAATCATTTTAGTATCAGGGAAGTTTCCCACAAATAATTCCCGATTCCTCAGCCTAGAGTTAATGCTTGGTTTGGGATTTGAGAAGGTGTCACACCTGCATTTCCTGTGGCAGATCCAAAGCTTTATGTATTCAAAGTGTTATTTACAGCTTAATTTCTTTTCTTACTACTGTGATCCTAAGGCAACGCTTGAGTCTTTGTGCACCTCTGCGTGCACATGCTACGTTTGTGCACTGAAGTCAGTAGGTAATGATGAGTTACTCAGCATATATTCTCTCCTCTATGAATAGAGAGTCTTTGTGGTCACCATTTTTGAGAAGGAATTGCCAAATAGATATATCTTTTTATAAATAACTGCTGTAAAGGTTTAGTATTTTTGGAGAACAAGAGATGCAGAAAATGCAATTTCCAAGCTGGTTTTCCTGAACAAAAAGGGAGTGCTGTATCTAATCAGCTTCATTTTGTGAATGAACAGATCTGGTAGAATGAAAGTTCGAGTCTATTGGGCTTTATCTGACTGAAAAGCCTGACTCAGTTTATGTGTACTTGATTAGGAAACAGTTTCTCCTAACAGTTTTCAGCAATTTCATAGCTTTTAAGAAAGCTCTGGAAATAATGGTAAGGCCACTTATCACAGTGCTAACACTGAAGATGCAGATTCAATTTCCCACTTGAAGGCTTGCTTCATGTGGCATTGGGATATCGGTCAACGTTCTTTCACTTCCTTGCAAAACTGAGGGAATAGTGCTTCTTGCATCATGAGGATGAGTACATTCAGCAGTTGAGAGATTTAAATATAATGAAGATAGTTGAAATCTGAAGTCAGTCTCTCCTGGTATGGGTTTGGATTGCCCTTAATTCTCCTTGCTTTTGGCAGAAAATCTCCATGGTTATAAGTGTCTACATGTAGTAGCTAGAAACGCTCAAATTCTCATTTTTAATGAAATGTGACAGATCAATCTGGCAAACTGCTTAATGAAAGTCAAACATTTTATATTAATATGATATGGAAAAAAAAGTATTTTGTGTCAACAGTCACAAGCTATTCAGACTCACTTAGCATGAATTTGCAGTGGTGAATAGATCAGGCAGATCCAAAAGGATACAGAAATCTAGTGAATATAAACAATTTCTCAAGTATAACAAGTTACACCCTGTTCATCTCACTGTATTTCCATTCTTGTGAATTATCACATCATCTGTGCAAGAGTCCTGAATATCAGAAGACTGGGTTTTAGTATTATTTTAGCTAACGTGATGCATGAGATTATTTTGTGTATTTTATACATGCCTCAGTTCTGGTTTCTGATCATCGGTATCAATTTATCTTTTTGTACTGTAAGGATTGCTTGCATGTGTGACAACGTGAGTGAGTTCAGGGACCGTTAGTGGCTCTCACTCCATAAAGTAACTTGCACCATTGGTTCTACTGTTCCTTTTAATTTGAGAAACCTAATTGTGCACGTGCTACATTTATCAGCAGATTTTAATGGAAGGCAGAATTTGACATTTGTTAATCCAGCAATAAAATGTTTTGCAATCTTACTTGGATATTCTTTATTAAAAGAAATGTAATTGGAAAAAAATAGGCAAGATGTGACTTGATTTTTAACTATACTAAATGCACCATGCTGAAAATATCATTTGCTGTATTTTACAAAAAGAAAACTACATTGAATACACTGCCTGCATTATGATGATGTAGGTGATGATTATCACCTACAGTAATCTAATGCTGCTTTTCTTGGGAGGGAAATTCCAGTATACAGAGTATGCTGCTATTACACAAAGCATTAGCCTAGGTGTGTGATGCCTAGAAGACACCATCTTCCCCCTAGTGTCTTCCCATCAGTTCATCTTCCTGAAGCAGCTAATGCTTTGCCTTTCTGGAAAAAGAAAATTGTATGTCTTGTTTTGAGAGGAAAGGTTTTTTTTTTTTTAAAAAAAAAATAAATTTATGTAAGATGTAGTTGACCATAATCTGTCTGAACGGATCTTTGAGGCAGATAAAGAGGAACTGTCACGGATAACAGAGAATGCATGCTACCCTCAAAGATTAAAGGATCAGTTCCAATCAGGAGAAGATAGTGGAGAGTATGATTTTGTATTTGATGAGACAAAAAGAAAATAGGTTAGCTAAAATAATCTATCATGTACAAGAAATGATGGACTGTACTGGAATAATATTAGGGAGACAGAAGACATGAATAAATACGTTATGAACCGCTAAGCCTTGAAGGATTTAAAGAGGTAATTTTGTTTGTCTTTCTACCCCAAGGCAGGATTAAATATACCTGGGTGTCCAGAATGTGCACAAGAAAGGCAGCTATACCCAGCAGCAGGTCCAATTTAATATTCAGTAATGCAAATATGCTGTTATCTTGTCAGTCAAACTAACACCTTTAAAATTCCTGCAATTCTTTCCTGTAGGGATTTCTATTAAAGGTATGTAATGTGTCAAAATGGTAGTACGTTTTCTTAGCTCTGGAATGGACTGCAAGATAATTTAGGGCACTGGAGAGGGTAGCTTTATGCCAGCTGGTTTAATCAACCTTGAAGGAGACCTGTGTACCCAGCTGGATCACTAGGCTGGTAGCAGCTGTCCAGTGAGTTAATTGAGACGTCCAGATCCTAGGCAAACTAGGTTAAAGCATCCAGTCAGTCCTCCTGTGTTCAGAGTACTGTCTTCTTTCACCTTTATGCTTTAAAGTTTATTATTTGAAGCATCTTTATATCCATGTTCTTTGAGAAAGGGCAGACCAGTAGTGATTCTGTATGAGAGACCTATTTAGAAATACTGCTTAAATTCTTTTTCTGTAAGAAAGTTTTTTTTTTAAGGTTTTTGGTGGTGTGGGGTTTTTTGTTTGTTTGTTTGTTTACAAAGACTCTAAATTATTCCAATCAAAAGTCATCCCAAATTCCTTTTGTCAATCTTCCATGTTTAAAAATGCATTCATTTTTGTTATACTTTTCCAGGTATTCAGATCTCCTTATTGGAAAATTTGATGTGTGCTATATTCGTAGCTTTGAGCATAATGCTTAGGCAGAATTTCTTGTCTTTGCTTGAAACTCTCCAAGTTCTTCATCAGTGGTCCCTATCCCATTTAAAGAGAAACTGATGCATGTATCATTCTGATTCTGTTTTGATATTTTTTGCAGAAAGTGTTGAAATGCTTCAGAGTAATAAAGGATTACACAAAGAGTAGCTCTTTTTTGTTTTCCATATATATTATTCATGAAACTACTGTGAAAATAAAAATAGTTCTTAGAGTCTCTATTCTGGATATAACATTCAGCCGTAATTATTTTGTAGGTCTTGATTCAATACCAATTCTTTATCTAATTTAGAGTAGAAGTTTGTGAAGCTATTATAACCATCCTCTTCAGTGTGTCTCTGTCCTGTAAATAAGCATGTAATGTCACAGCCATTTTTATGCATGCACTCTGTATGGAAACAGTATATTCTTAACGACATATCATTGGTATGACTAGATTCTTTGAAGTCCTGAAACTAGAAGATCTGGAATTTCTGTTACAGCCAAATGTTTTGTGATCACATCCTAAACCTTGAAAACAAATGCTTTTCTGAAGTTCTAGTTTTCTCACCTAGTTAATAATTTGTTCTTTAGAAGCTTTACATAAGGAAATAATCCCTTTGAGGTGAATTTTGAGAAAACTGTAAGATGCCGTTTATTATCTGTGGAATGTCATTATTTCAGGTACCTTAATTTTTGGTTACAGGCATTTAGACCATCATAGACTATGGGATCCCAATGAATTTGCTGTTTTGTGCTTCAAAATCATCATGTATTCTATACAGGTAGGATTTTCTCCAGAGTTTGTTTTCCTGGGATGTATTTTTCAAGCACATGGGACAGGGTGAAATGCTGACATCACCATGATAATGATAAACAGTAGATGAAGTCAAAGAATCCGGAAGATCCCTTTCTGTAACTCCTTAGCCTTATTCTCTAAACTTTTCAAATAGTAACCTAATCATGGTTTGTGATCAGAGGTTATCTGGTTTACTTTTGAATAATATACAGTTGTAGAAGAAAAAAATATATTAAGGAATTCTCAATGAAAGGTAGTGTAGAGGTCCCTGAGCAAGCTCCAGAACAAGGAGCAGGGTAGCTATTCTGCTCTGACATTGTGCTTGATAAATAAATCTCTCTAAGTTGGTCATGTCTTGGTGCCAATACACCTGTACTGCTTTTACAACCCAAGAAGCCAACTTCACATGGAACTGTGTTGTGCTAATTGATATTTACTAATGGGCAGCCTCTGCTGTCTGTTGTAAACATGATCACAGTCTGATTCTTGGGTACATCAAGCACAGACATTCAAAAGATAAAGTCATAAAATTCCAGGATTGTGGGAGAAAGCTGAGTTTTCTCAGTGTTTGTATCAATGACACTTTTTTGTAAGACCAACCGAAGTCCTTGAACTGCATTTAGCTGAATGAAGTGCCGCTTCATGCTTCCTCTGTTCATGTAGATGTTCTTTGTTATTTTAATACTGTAAACTTTTGTATACTGTTCTGGGTGGACCTGTGTGGCTTCATCTGTCGTGGTAGGTTTTTTTTTTTTTTAATCTATATGTAATTGTGAATTGATTGAAATTTAGATAAACTTGTGTGTAAGAACGTTGCAGAATGGGAACATGGTCATTACTCTAGCTGAATGGTGTTGGAATTTATTGTTATTTAAGTCACAGATGAAGCTTTTTTTCCTATTTACTTGTTTTTTAATAGGCACAATATTCCCATCATGTAATACAAGAAATTCTTGGACACCTTGATGTTCGCAAAAGGGACCCACCACGAGTTCGTGCTGGCATTATTCAGGTTCTTTTGGAAGCAGTTGCAATAGCAGCTAAAGGATCAATAGGTAAGTCTTCTTAAATTGACAACATCAGGTCAAAAGTTAGATTTGAAGGGTGGTGCTCATTTTGCTTTGTTATCAGACTGAATGAAAGTATGTATTTTGAGGAAGTTTTGTATTATTTTTTTCCTCTTTGTGCTGATAAAATGCTTGAAATTTTACTGAGTTTACAGTGACATACATACTTGTTTGTTCAACTCTTTTATAGTCCTTAGCATTGGAAAAATGAGTAGATGCATTTTTATGGCCTTGGGAAAGGCAGAAATTTCTGCTTACTAAGAGTTCAACGTCTAAGAGAACTATGTGTGACTACAAAAAGTCAAGAGGATTATTGCTTTGTGATACAGCTGCTGTGAGATGAGCAGTAATAAGGGAATCAAGAGTACAATGATCTTTGAGATATTTTACCTTAGTAACTGTGGAGCAGCTGAAATAAGGTGAATTATGTCATTTAAGGTAGCATAGGTCCTTGAAATAAGGGTAGTTATGAAGATGTGTACACACACATCCTCTGCTGTTCTTTTTCTTTCGTCTCCTGCT